CCACCACCCCCTCCACCACCACCCCCCACCATGTCCAAGGCTGCAGGAGCAGGGAGTGTCCCTTGGGGCGTCTTGGGACTTTAAAAGTCTAATCCTGAGCCTGTGGGTGTATTAAACAGGAAACTCACACATGTTGCTAAACATCAAATCCAGCCAGACTGTGTGGCTGGAAGATGGAGGGACTGCTTCACTCTGACAGCGGTCTATCCTGAAAACATCTAGGTTGGCCTGACATCCTTCAAAGTAAGTACACTGAGATGATGTGTTAGTCAACGTTCACCTTATGTGACAATCCCGAATGTGTGGCTTTCACACCACACAAGCTGACATCTCCTTGTCTAAGAAAGGTGAGTGGCCCAAGAGGGTGAGGGCCCAGTGAGGGGGGGAGCAGGAAGATGGAGGCAGACTCAGCCCACGGCCTCATCCACTGAGTAAGGCCCAGACACACTCACTCCTTAGCCATCAGGGGCCTAGTTATTTTCAGATGTCACCTAGGATAGTAGAAGGCCCTATCATGGCTAACAGCACAGCCCAGAGCCACCCTTGCCCTTCATTGTTCAATGAGATTCTCTCCTGCCTTCCTTGGTTTATCACAAGCAGTACCAATACCAATCAGCCCCTGGCTGTCACTGGAAGTTGAAGTCATGTATTGGCAATGAGGTTCTGGAGACTATCTCCTTGGGCACAGACGGCAGGAGGGCAGGGGATGGGGCTGCAGGGCCACCTAGAACCAGAGTGTGATCCCCAGAGTCCACACAGTGGGAGGATATAACTGACTCTCACAATAAATAAACAAATGCAATTAGAACACACAATAAATAAATCCAATTAAAATTTAAATATAGACTAGTGTGGCCTACGTTTTCTTGTACCATGGAAAATACAAATTCCATACCCCTTTACTGGGTGAGATAGCTTGGGTCCTGAACCGGTCACCAGGGGTGTCCTCTGGTTACTCCTTAGAAAGGGACATGGACCTCAGAGAAGTATAGTGCTGCTGACAGACAGCTGGTAAGCTACAGATCCAAGGCTTTGCTATCCCACCCAGTAAGGAGTAGTTTGTAGAATGTTTGTTAAATGGAGGAAGTCAGGAGAGGTCACCAGTTCTACTCCAGAGACAGAAACACTGCTTAAGCTCCAGAAGTGAGTATTGAGAGAGCCGAGATTGCAGTCAAAGGCAAACCGAACCCAAATATATTCCACAAAGTGAGGAGCCCTCTAGAAGAGACCCAAAAGCTGCTGCCCTGCAGGCAAAGTGGGGGAAGGCAGCAGAGCCACCAAGGGGCAGGAGAAACAGGCCAGCCACACTACACTATCCAGAGCCCCAGGGTACAGTGCAGTGTTGAGCCAACTTTCCATCCGAGATAAGCAATTTCGGAGGGGGGGTGTATTTTAGAGTTTATTTGGCTCAGGGAGTCCCTCAGGCTCTGCTCACTGGGCCCTACTGCCTCTGGATTCCGATGAGAAAGAACACCATGGCAGGGAGCATTCGGCAGGACAAAATGGCTTATACAATGGTAGACAGTGGAAATGTGGACAGGAAAAAGAGGTGGAGGAGGGGAGGGGACAAAGGGAGAGGAAGCAGGGACAAGATGCGCCCTTCAAAAGCACCCCCCAATAATCTGATTTCTCCAACCAGGCTCTGCCATCTCTCGACAATGCCATCAAATTCTTAATCATCAATCCACCAGAAATCCTCAGAATCTGATCCCACCCTGATGACTGGATCTAGGAGACCAGCCCCTTAGTTTTAGGGGTGTGGGTCACTGCCATCTATCCTGGCACAGGAAGACTATGAAATGGCTCTGGTAGAGCTGAGTGACATCCTTCCAAGGCACCCTAGGCATTTACAAGATGCCCTGCAGTAACCCCGTGATGGCTCAGGTCATGTAGCTGGGTAGAAAAAAGGCTCTCAGGTCATAGAATACCAGAGGCAGGACTGGAGAGAAAAAACAATCTGGTAACCACCACAAGTCATGGAGAGCTCTGCCATCAGAAAGTAGGGGTCAGGTGACAGCCCGGAGGCCACTAGGGTCTCCCCAGACCTAAGCTCTATTGTACCCTCAAAATATGGAGGGCAGGAATGGTGACTCTAACCAGGCACAGCCCTGCCTGACTATATCAGGATGGACTGAGCCACCCACAATGAAGCAGACAGGAGAACGTGAGCACTGTCTTCTGAGCAGAGCCATACATCACACCTGCACATTCACTTGGGAAGTTGTGCAAAGACACAGGAAAATGTAACTCAATAAGAATAAAACTCAATAAAAGCCAGACAGGGGCAGCCCAGCTCTGGGAAATAGAGGCCTCTATATTATAAACACACCAGATGGCCTAAGAGAAAGGGCGGATGCTATTTGAGAATGATGGGGATTTGAACGGAAAGATTAAAAAAAAAAAAACCATGGCAGTTCTACCAATAAAACCCAAACCCACAGATACAATACAGTAACACAGAAATCTATGCAGGGAGTTTAGCAGCAGATGGCATACGGCGGGGGGAGGGGGAGACAGGGTTCCCCGGAGCAAATCCACATGGAAACAAAAGCAAACTGAGCCACATAAAATGGTAAGTCCAATGCACCCGAGACCAGAAGTCTACAACAGAAACATATGAAGAAATATTTGAGGAAGAAATGGCTGAGAATTTCTCCAAACTGGTGTAAGACATCAACCCACTGGTCCAAGGACCCAGAAAGGATGAGAATGAAGAAACATTCACCATGGTTCCCCATGTGCAGTTGCCCGGGTTTCAGTTACTCACCAACTGCAGTCTGAAAATATGAACTAGGAGACCAGCGATACACAGTTCATTGGTTCAAATGATGCTCCACTCTGAACAGGCTCTCCCACCATCCCATTCCCTCCCACCTGTAATGTGGATCCTCCTGTCTCACAGTGCATCCACAGTAGATTTCACCTTCCCATTCATCAGACCAGCTGCTGCCGTATCACCATGCTGTTCTCAGCGGACTCTGTTTTACTACTGTCGCAGAAGCAGTGACCCTGAAGATTCACACTTGCCTTGGAACAGCTTTTTCTGGGGAGATGGTAGAAGTTATCAATAAGGAAAGATAACTGTGCCAAGACTGCTGTAGTGACCTGGTAGAGCCTTCACTCCACAGAGCTGAGGAGCAGAAGCTTGCTATCACACCAACTGTGGAACAGCTGTGGTAAAGTGAGACCCTTATATAAGATGGAAAGGCCCTCTGTGTGTGCATGGGACAAGATCTGGTCCCATATGTAGATTTGGTCAGCCACTGGGAGACCTGGGACAAGGCCCTTCCCTTCTGGGTGAGAGGGAGCCCAGCTGCTCAGCATCCAAGTGTCTTAAGAGCAGCTAAGAAGCAATGGGGAAAGAAACACACAGGAGAAATTCAACAAGGCGGCGTGATGCAGCCATAGTAGTAATGGACAAGATGACCAGGACGTCATTCTCACAGTGCTGATGGGAAACATAAATCAAGCTGAGTCCCCCATCCAGCAAACGTCCTTCAGAAGTGAAGGTGAGCACAGACCTCTGCAGAGTGATGGAAGCCAAGGGAATAGGTCCGCCCAGAGAAGCTGGCTGGAGTTCTTGCTGGAACTCATACCAGATAAACTGGCTGTTGTTCTTCTCACTTACTCTACAGATGGGCAGTAGCTCAATTCCTTAGAAGTCCAACAGGAAGACATGGGTCCCAGAAGCTGTGTGAAGAGAGGCAGGGCCTTCGCCTAGCGGCAGGAGGGACAGGGGCCAGCCAGAGCAACAGGGGATGAGGCTCCTGGGAGAGGCTGGCATGGTGGCCATTGCTCAGCTGTGGGGTCCCTGAGCCTAGGTTTTCAGGGTGATGACCAAAAATAACAGCTGGCAAGAGCCTCATCTAGACTGCTCAAGAGCTACAGTTGTGCGTGGTCACCCCAAGTGCTGGCGGATCTACCACTCAAGAAATACTGAGATGGGCTCTCTGCCTTTCAATCCTATTTAACTTTTAAATGTTATTTTTTAAAGATGTATTTGTTTATGTATAGGGGTATTTTGTCTGTATGTGTGTCTGCATACCAGAAGAGGCCATTGGATCCCATGGGGCTACAGTTTTGATGATTTTGAGGTATATGTGGGCGCTAGAAATTGAACTCAAGATCTCTAGAAGAATAGCCAGTGCTCTTAACTGATGAGCCATCTCTCCAGCCCTTTAATTATATTTTTCATGAGAAGACACATGCAAGTTACATGTCTTAGTCATGTGTTCTATTGCTGGGAAGACACCATGACCATGGCAACTCATAAAAGAAAGCATGTAACTGAGGCTTGCTTACAGTTTCGGAGGTTTAGTCCATTGTACTCATGATGAGGCACATGGTGCCGGAGAAGTAGCTGAGAGTTCTACATCTGAATCCTTGGCACCAGGAAGAGAGGGAGAGCTACTGCACCTGGCTTGGGCTTTTGAAACCTCAAAAGCCATCCCCAGTGGTATACTTCCTCCAACAAAGCCACACCTCCTAATCCTTCTCAAGTAGTGTCACTCCCTGATGACTAAGCTGTTGTTGTTTTTTGCTCTTTTGGGAGGCCCACCACCCAGCTCCCAAGTCAATCACACATGAAGGCTTATTCCTAATTATGAATGTCTGGCCTTAGCTTGGCTTGTTTCTTGCCAGTTTTTCTTAGCTTTAAATTATCCCATTTACCTTTTGCCTCTGGGATTTTACCTTTCTCTATTTCTGTACACCTTTCATTATTTCTTCTTCCATTGCTGGTTGTATATCTGGGTGGCTGGCCCCTGAAGTCCTCCTCCTTCTCTGGCTACTTCTCATTTCTTTCCAGATTTCTCCTTCTATACATACACTTTGCCTGCCAGCTCAACCTATCCTTTCTCCTGCCTCGACATTGGCTGTTCAGTTCTTTATTAGACCATCAGGTGTTTTAGACAGGCACAGTAACACGGCTTCACAGAGTTAAACAAATGCAACATAAACAAAATTAACACACCTTAAAATATTCTACAACACTAAGCACTCAAATATGAGAGCCTTTGGGAGCCATTCTTATTCAAACCACCACACTTCCATAAGGGTAGTCTTTCCCATCACCCAAGCATGAACCAGATCCTATTTGTTACAACATACTGCCCAGTTGCCTTGACACACTGGAGAAGTTGGGAGTCTACCACGGAACCAGGCTCTCCATATGACTCTACCTGGGGACAGTTCCCTCACCTGTTTCTTCTGAAGTAAGCCCTTTTGGTTTATCATTGGCGAGTACTGTGGACATGGGTTGCCCATCCCCTCCTCAGGACCTGACAAAAACTATTCGTATAACTGTGGGCTCACCTGACCTGGCATTCCCACTCTGACGCAAACTCCGAGGGCACAGTGTACAAGGTCCTACACAGGCTAGCTGCTGCCACCACCATGTGCCCAAGCCAAGGCTGAATCCACAAGAGACTGAGTGGCACTGTAGCATTTAACAAAGGCCACTGTTGTCAATGATTCTGAGAGCATCCACCAGCTTCTAGTTGAATTAGTCCCATGAACACCACCTTTTCCAGGAACCATAGTCTTCAACTGCTTTTGCTTCCAAAGAGATGAGCCAAGTTCAACTGAAAGGAGTCTTTCTACATGGCGGATAGGCCACCTCCAGAAAGCATCGATTTGGTCTTTCCTGGTCACTAGCCACTCAAAGTAGACATGCTGAGGAAACATTCATACTTTTGGGGAGATGGAGACACGGTTCAGTGGTTAAGAGCACTGGCTGCTCTTGTACAGCTGAGTTCTGTTTGCAGTACCCCCATGGTGGCTCACAATCATCTGTAACTCCAGCCACAAGGGATCCAATACCCTCTCTGGCCTCTGTAGACACCAGGCATGCACACAGTGCACAGACGTATGTGAAGCAAAGTACTCGTACACATAAAGCAAAAAAAAAAGACAACCGTCTGGGCACTAGTCAGTTTACCTCGAGGAGATGCACCCAATACCTTTACTCTTCACCCCTCTGGCTGCATGGCCTCCCTGACACCTGGCAGTGACTGGGCAGAAATGCACACCACCTAGCAAGCAGCTGCAAAAGTGCCACTGCATGTCCCCAGGTTAAATCTCTTCCTGAGAAAGCAACAATAAAGTTAACACAGCCCACATTTGGTAAGCATTCTCAACTCACTGCTCCCAAAGGGCAGCAACCATGGACCACCTCTGAAATGGGGGAAGTGACCACAGGTAAGTGATCCTGGCAGCCTTGGGTCCAAGTGACCTGGCACAACCCATAGGAGCCAACAGCAAGTGCTTCCAGTAAGTGAGAAGACAGCCAACAGTCCCAGAAGCTAATTCCCACATGGGCCATTCTAGATGCAAGACAGAGACACACAGAATAGTCTGGACATGACACTGGGATGCAGGAGCCATGAGTCAGGACAGTCAGACCCCTCAGTATAGACCAAGCACCACACCCTGGCCCCTCCTCCTACACACCTGCCCCTCTGTTCTCCTTCCCAGGTGGCCTGTTCCCAGCCACACCAGCTGGAAACAGACCTCCCTCCTTCTACCTACACACATCTTCTTACCTGGTCAGACCTGTCATTTAATTAATGGTTCAGCCCAGTACTTGGAACATTGGTTAAAAATCAGTTTTGAAGTATGGTTGACTTACAACAAAATGTGCTGATAGTCAGCTCAAAAGACCAGAGGTGACGAACTTGTAAAGAGAAAGGGCTGCCTCCTTGGTGGGGCATGCCTGCAATCCCAGCATTTGGGAGGCTGAGGCAGGAGGATTTTGAGTTCCCAGACCATGTCTCAAAAACAAAACAAAATAGACATTTTAAAAATTGTAGTAAAATATTTTTAATGGATCGTGATTTGTGTAGAAAAAGGAAGCTCTGTCTAGCCCAAAATGATGAGGTCATACTGGCTCTTAGCTTAGAAATCCTTCTCTCCTATGCACCCAAATATCACTACCTCCCTTAAACTTGCTGCAGTTCCCTGGCCCCGACGTGTCCAGCGGGAGAGACAGTATCCCCACTTCCCATGGGACGACGGCCACCCCGCTCACAGAGGCCGCTCCCTGCTGTCCTCCCTCACGGCTGGTAGTTTTCTCTCTCCAGTCAGAAGCATCTCACTAACGGATCCTGTGTGGGTTTCTCTGGCTCTCATCCTCACTCCATTCCTGTTGCACAACTGTAACCTCAGCACTCGGGCTAAGGAAGGAAGATCTGAAGTTCAAGGGCAGCCTGGGCTACACAGCAAGACCTTGTCTCAAAAATTCAAATAAAACAAAACCCTCATATCCAGAAATTCTGACCACAGAACCATGCAAGCCTGTGGCACTCTGCTCAAATGGCTAGTCACACTCAAGAGGGTGGGTGGCTTCGAAGAGCCCAGCACCAGGGCGCCCTGTCCCTCAGAAGTTTTCCAGAAGGACCCGAGAGGCGCCCACCCTCTTCAAAGGTCTGCTCGATGCTGCCATGTGTGAGTTCGAATGGAACTCTCGGGGTTACCTGTTCATCTACTGCCCTATACACACCATGACAAAATCATGTTTAACAGGCTGAAATCAGATCACACTGACTATAGTAAAATCTTTTTAATAGTGACCTTAAGATTAACATGGGAAAGCTATACAACGAGTTTCCTCTTATATGCGGTGCTCTGCTGGTGCAGAGGCTAGGAGAATGGTCTCAGGGTTCTCACCTCAGATGTTCAAGGGTGAGGTAGGAGTCAGGCTTCTGACAGCAGGTTAAATGTACCCTTTAAAGGCCATCCATTGCATAGGCCTCCCACCAATGCAGCAGTCCTGTGCAGCCAGCTGCTCTGACCTTGGTCTCCAGACACCATGAATCCCTAGGTGCCGCACTCCAGGCCCACAAGCCTCTTCACAGACAAGTCCACACTGAAAACTATAATATCTTCATGAAAACAGAGAGTCAAAGCGCTGGCAACTGGGAAAGGGGGCGGGCTCACTGGGCCATCCAAGGCCTCATGGGGGGAAGTCGAGGCTGACGTGCAGGAGTCGGCCTTGGCTCACCTCTGTGGGTTCCGAACCAAGGCGTCAAGGATGCAGCCTGGTCGCTGCATGCCGTCAGCGAAGACTTCAGATGCTGCTGCTGGTCCTCTGCCACCTTCTCATCTCTGGGCCAGGAGAAAGCCCGGAAATGGTCCCCTAGTGCCCAAGCAGATGTCATGGGCACAGAGCGAGAGTGTGACAGGGGAAACCAACAACAGCGGGGCTAGCCTCAGCAGCCTTTCTGAGTAATGTCCAGCCCCGAGGACTTCGTGATTTCCAATGTTGTAAAGACCTGTTTACAAGGAAGAAGACAACATGTGGCAATGTCACTGCTGCTTTACAAGGACATGCTCCAGTTGCACGGAGAGAACACATTAAATTAGCTTGCTAATGTAAAATATATTAGAATTAAAGAAACACTACAATGAGTTTCATAATTGTTTGTAAAGCTAGGCTACTTGAGTCCCACTGAAAGCACCTCACTGGGGTTTGGGGGCTTTCAGTGGATACAGTACTGGGGAGACGCTTCGTGGGTAAAGAGCTACCCATGCAAGTGTGAGGGCCCAAGTCCAAGTTCCAAAACCCACGCTGAGTGTGCTGGCACACGCTTGTAAAATCTCCACACCACGGAGGCAGAGATAGCTGCATTCGGAGTCTTACTGGCCAGCCAGCCTAGTGCTGGCACACGCTTATAAAATCTCTGCCATGGAGGCAGAGAGGTGCATCCCGAATCTTGCTGGCTAGCCATCCTAGCCTATTGGCAAGCTTCAAGCCAGCGTGACACCCTGTCTCCAAAAGAGGTTAAGATAGCCTAAGGAATGACATTCAAGGCTGTCCTCTGATACATGCGTGTGCATGCACGTGTGCATACACACACACACACACACACACACACACACACACTGCTCCTTACCTCACCACACGTGGGATGGATTCCAATGGTGTCATTCAGTAGCTGCTTTGTGAGCCCACACTTCATGGCAGCTGCAAATCCCTGTGTGATTTCACCAGCATTTGGCCCCAGAAGGTGAAATCCCACCACACGCTCCTTTAATACAGAGACAGAACAGAGAATCCCCATAAACCCAGGATCAGAACGGAGATCCACTCCCTGCTGTTGACAGCTAAGATATACAGGGTCTCCCACAGGAGAGGAAGTGAGCAGGGAACAGCCTCGCGAAGGACTTGGCCAAGGAGCCGGTACAGTGTGGTCAGAACTAACTCACACTCTAATCTACTAGTGCACTCGATTTGCCCACCCGTGATGGAGCTCATGGGTGGGATGTGACTTCTGGATCACTGAGCCAGGGCCACACAAACACTGCACATATGAACTAAGCGCCTGCACTGGAGTACCCAAGGCATCAGGTCTTACTAGAGGAGGGTTTGTGGCCCCATGCACGGCTGCCTGCTCCTGACACTGAGCAGAGCTCAGGAATGGCTGGCAGAGGCTGTCAGCAGGGCAGCATGTGGTGGGTGTCCAGAGCAGAAGTGAGCCATAGCTATCTACTGACACGCCTTTTCATCAGAGTCGGGCCTCCATTCTGAGCCTCCATGAGGACAGACGAAGGCAGTGTGTAAGCCAACGACAGAGCAGGCACAGGAGACATCTCAGCTCCATCAGCACCTGCCTGTTGCCCTCTGGGAGTGCCTCTCCCTGGCACTCCACACATGCCATTCCACGGATGAAGCGCACACACATGCATCACGCACAGTGCCGGATGGTGGCCACAGTGTTGGCCTTCACAGTTCTAAACCATCAGGGCCCAACTGTCGGCTCACTGCCTGGCAGGCACAGCTGAGCTGGAAAACTGCTCCTGCCTCAGCCTCTGCAAAGAGCTGAGAGCTTACTTCTGCCCCAATCCCATCTTTAAAGAGATCATAAAAACCCAACTGGCAAGAATCCAATATATATATATTGTTTTTTAGAGACACGGTTTCTCTCTGAAGCTTTGGAGCCTGGCCTTGAACTCACAGAGATCCGCCTGCCTCTGTCTCCCGAGTGCTGGGATTAAAGGTGTGTACCACCACCACCTGGCCCAAGCTGTATTTTAAAATCACAGTGGGTGAGGCTTGGGGAGCAGCCCGGGGTACAGAGTGTGTACCCTTTACACAACCCCAGAGAAAATGGAGTAGACTAGGGCAGAGCAGAAAGCACAGCATCCAGGCATCTACATACATTGTCGAATTTGTTACAGATTATCTTCGCATAACAGGTATTATTGTCTCTGCCGGCGACTGTCCACTCCAGAGGCCAGAACAAGGTGTGATACACCTGGACAGAAGGGAGAGGCTGACATTAGCACTGCATGTAACCCACTCCTTGACATGCTCCTCGGTCCCGCTAAGGTGACAGACTATAACAGCTTGCTGCACTGGAAGCCCCAGGCCCCACCTGGGCCATGTTGAATGCTGCACTGGAGCCAGGTTCCCGAAATGCCAGCAACATGTCACATTTGCTTTGTGCAGCCATTAGTCAGACAGAAACAGCCTCCTGTGAGCAAAACTCCGTTTTCAAACATTTAGAGTGTTGTCGGCCCACTAGTAACTATGTGGGCTGAGAAGATGACAACTGAGACCCCACCTAGTGGCATGGTCACCCCAAACCTAGAAGATCAGAAGACACAGAACCGTTCTGACTTCCAAGATGAAGCGCATCATCTGTGCTTCTGACCCCAGCAAAGCCCCCAGCACCCCACCCTGCCCTGACAGCCAAGTCTCCACTGTGCATGGGGCGAGGGCCTTTTATACCTGTATCTCCAAAGTCCTAATGCATACACCCCACTGCCCGCCCTCTCGCCAAAGCTGTGTTCTTTCTATCACTGTGCGAGTGTGACAGAGTTTAGATGCTCTTCAAATTCTCCCCAATAGGAGGATGATTTCTCTAACAGCATGGAAGAGACTTGCAAAGTTACAACATAAAAAGTGGCTTCAGGGAAGGAAGGTTGATGATAGAGGAACCGTGGTCCTTACTTCCAGATTCTCTTTTTTATACACTTCGATGGCTTTCTCTTCAGACAGCCCACAGCAGCCATATTCCAGAGGTGTGAACACCGTTGTTGGGACGTTAATGTAATCACACTGGAAGAGAAACACACAACACTCCTATGACTTGCTTCCCAGCAAGTTTCTATGGCACAGATTCATAGACAGTGGGGTTGTGTCAGATCAAAAGGGACCCAGCGGTTACGAGAGCCAACTGATGGAAGACTGCAGAAGTCTAAATGTGTTGGTGAGCATGTGAATGAGTGCGCCCAAAATGTACTTATTATTCATTTTGTGTGTGGGGGGGTATTTTCTTGAAAGTATGGTTGCATGCCACATGTGTGTCTGATGCCTACAAAGGCCAGATGAGGGCATTGGAGTCGCTGGAACTGGAGTTATAGACAGTTGTGAGCTACCATGTGGGTGCTGGGAATTAAACCTGGGTCCTCTCCAAGAGCTCTATGTGCTCTTATCTACTGAGCCAATTCTCCAGCCCTTGTGTATGCATGTCTTTCATGTGTATGGTGTGCGTGTGTGTGTGTGTGTGTGTGTGCGCGTGCGCGCGCGCACGCACGCGTGCATGTAGAGACCCAAGGTTGATGCAAGGAATCATCCTCCATCACTCTTCTACCTCATCGACTGAGGCAGCGTCTCTTAGTCAAACTCAGAGCTGGCTATACAGCGAGTTTTATTGGCCAACTTGCTCTAGGGCTCCCATCTCTACTTTCCAAGGCTGGAATTACACGTGAGCCACCACACGTAGGTCTTGAGGGGTCCCAACTCTGGTCCTTACACTTACTGGCAATTGTTTAACCACTGCCCCACCTTCCCACATTGCTGAACTTCTGTTGAGTTCTCAGACAACATCTGAACTGAAGTCGGAAAGGTAGGTATCGTTGTACTTAAGCGACACAAGCACCAGCAGCTAGAGACAAATTAGGCTGATGTCTACCACTTAAAAAACCTCAGAAGAGAAAAGTGTGCTTGCCAGTTATTCCAAAGAGGAGAACGGGCTGAGCAGGACAACTCAGCGACCTGAGCATCTAGTGAGAGGTTCATGCAGGAACCACCTCAGCACCCTTGCTGGCTGGTGTCTTGCTAAATGAAGCTGGTGGACATATGGCCTTCCGCCTCCCCCATGGCACACCCCAAGTGCACCGAGGGGATATGCAGGCTCACAAGAGCACAGCCACGACCTGTTATCCGCTAGCCCTCCACAGGTCCCCAGTACTACTGATAAAGCAGTGCTTTCCTCTCAAGGTGAGCCCCATGAGGACACTCTTATTCCCTCTATTATCTGATGATACACCTACTAGAAAAGTCCACTGCTTCCTCTGTAGAATTGCCTAGATCCCATGTATCTCACTAAGGAATACCAAGACAGAAAACTACGCTTCATAGCAGTGGCCTTGCAAAAGATGGCTGTGAAATCACAAGTGAATGGGGCTTACCAAGTAAGCGGTGTAAGAGGTTAGTATCCTGCTCAGGAGGGGACACTCCATGGACAGCTGCAGCAGGCCACTTAGGAAGCCTGTTTCCAGCCTGTCAGGTAATTCAGGCATCTTTTCCTGCACTGGAGCAACTGGCTCACAGCACTCTGGCACATAACCACATCTGTGGACTGTCATCTGTGGACCGCCTGAGCCTGCTGAACTCAGCCTCCACCCATCTGGTGAGTCCTGGGGCTGGACCCACAGTAATCTTTCACTATCACAGGACAGCCCAAGGAAGTAAAAAACACAAGTGTTATCAACTCTTTAATCAGTAGTAACTCAACTACAAATTATCTCTAAGAATCATTATTTACCAATTTTGAAATCTTAATTTTGGTCAAGATACTATCTCAGGGCCGGGATGAAGCTCAGTGGTAGAGCACTTAGCTTTCATGAGACCTAGAGTTCAGCTCCAAACACACACAGATATACACACATATATACATAGACATTCACACACCAAGACATGCATACAGATAGGCACACATACATTTATACTTACATAGAAGATATATACACATTCACAGAGAGGGGAGGGGAGGAAGGGGGAGGGAGTGAGAGGGAGACAGATGCACACAGAGAGAAACACACATACACATGTGCATATGCATATACAAACACATACAAAGAGATACACACACATATACACCTAAACATACACACAGGCATACAAAAAACAGACACACAAAGAGACACAGAGACACACACATGGACACATAGAGAGACACACAGATACACATAGATGCAAACACATAGTCAATTATAGGAAAAAACATACCTTTTCCAAAGAGGCCCCAAAGAGTCTTCGAGCTAGCAGCTTGCCTGCCTGTATGGCCACAGGTGTGAGCTCTGGTTTGCCTTCCAGTACGTCCCCAATAGCGTAGACATGAGGCACATTGGTCTGTTCCACATCATTTACTGGTATTTTGCCAGTCCTGGTAGAGTGAGGAGGAAAGCACACACTAAATCCCTGTACTGCTGACTGGCACCATGCAGATCAGCAACATGGCAGCTCACACAGCCCGGGCACCAAGGTGCCCAGTGACCTACAAGAAATGGCTTAGACCATGCTGCCTGCAGGTCTAAAACTTTCACATTCCCCATGATCACTTTAAGGGCTTCAGAATTTTTCTCTTTGACTGGTCAAAGACATCAGAATTCACTCTAAATCACAGACAGTGGGAGAACGTTTCTACAAATATGTTCTTGGATTGCTACTGAGAACATAAGCTCTTTAAAGCTTGTGTTAGAAGTCCCTAATTGGCCAATCCAGAAATTAACACACAGTTGGCATCATGCTTATGATGAGAAATTTGGGGCATCAGAATGTTATATCTTAGCAATTTACAGAGTTTTTACGGAGTTATGTGCAGTAACAGTGCCACAACCCTACACTTACTTCTCATTGATTTTGACCCCGATCTTCTCCAGGCCTATTTTCCTAGTACAGGATTCACGACCAATTGCTAACAAAACCTGCATTTAGAGAAAAGACCAGAAGTATAAATTATCCCCACGAGAATGACAAGGGAGACCGCACTATAGATACTGGAGGTATTACAAGGGTAACTGTGAAATGTCATAAGCAGCCTGTACAAGTGAATCTGATGGAATCCTTGAAAGACATGGCTTAGCAACTGTCTTAGTTTCTTCTCTGTGGCTGTGATAAAATAGCCCAACAAAAGCAACTTAAAGGAGGAAGGGTTTATTCCGGCCACAGTTCATGGTGAGAAAATCAGGGCTTCAAGATTGCAGCAACTCGTCATAACATATCCACAATCAGGAAGCAGACAGTGATGGATGCAGAGGCTGCTCAGGTCTCTTTCTTGATTTACACAGGACAAGGTTCCAGCCAGGGAGTGGCAGAGCCCATAGTGGGCAAGTCTTTCCATCTCAGTTAACACAATCAAGACAATTCCCCAAGCATGCCCAGAGGTCCATCTCCCAGGTAATTCTGGAGTCTGTCCAGCACTAGCCATAACACCAATTTCACACATGAAACCTGCAAAGCTTATGGTTGTGTCCCCTCCAAACCTACGTGTTCCTGTACTAGCCCAGAGCACCTCAGCCTGTGACAGGATTTGGAGACAGGGAAGAAGGCTTTCAGGATAATTAAAGGAAAATGAGGCCACACAGCTGTGTCCTTACTATTGTTGGGACAAATGTCTTCCAAAGGCTCTTGTGTTAAAGAGTGGATCACAGCCTGTGGTGCCCAGGGAGCTAAGGAACCTTTGAGAGGTGGGGTCTATAGAGAGGAAGTGGGGTCACTAGAAGCAGGCCCTCAATGGGGATTGTGGGACCTCAGCCCTTTCTCACGCTCTTTTCACCCACTGCTCCCACTAAGTACTCCAGCCATGCTGTACTGCCTTGCCATAAACCCAAACCACACACAGGGAACTGTGCCAACAACCATGCACTGTCTACCCATCCTCCTGCCCCCAGTTACAGAGACATACAACACCAGTAGCCCTAGAAATGCCACCTAGACACACCATGCCAGGCATTGAGGAGCAAATGCCACAATGTGATAGTGTGATATGAAGTCTGGGGTGATAGAACCAAGCAGGGTGACTGGGGACTGGGAAGGACATGGAGCTTTCTGGACTCACAAACGTGTCCCACTGCTTTAAAAGAGTGTGGCCTGCACCAGCACATGTGCTTGCCAAAAATGATCCACTGTACAATAGGTCTGCTCATCAAGAGGCCATGGATGTCAGTCTAGACTACTATACCCAGTGAAACTTTCAATCACCATAAATGGGAAAACAGGTATTTCATGACAAAGACAAATTTAAACAATATCTATCCACAAATCCAGCCCTACAGAAGGTACTGGAGGGAAAACTCCAACCCAAGGAGGTTAACTACACCTACAAAAACACAGACAATAGATAATCTCACACTAACAAAACCTAAAGAAGGGAAATACACAAACAACACACGCACACGCACACACACACACACACACACACACACCACTACCACCACCACCACCAATGACAAAATAACAGGAATTAACAATCATTGGTCATTAATCTCTCTTAGTATCAATGGACTCAATTCCCCAATAAAAAGACACAGGCTAACATAATGAATACAAAAAAACAGGATCTATCCTTCTGCTGCATACAAGAAACATATCTTAAAATCAAAGACAGACATTGCCTCAGAAAAAAAAGGGTTGGGAAAAGATTTTACAAGCAAATGGACCTAAGAAGCAAGCTGATGTAGCCATTCTAATATCTAACAAAATAGACTTCAAACCAAAATTAATCAAAAGATGAAGAAAGACATTTCATACTAACCAAAGGAAAAATCCACCAAGAGGACATTGCAGTTCTTAACATCTATGCCCCAAATGCAAGGACACCCACTTTTGTAAAAGAAACATTACTAAACCTTAAATCACACATCAAACCTCACACATTAATTATAAGATACTTCAATACCCCACTCTCACCAGTGGACAGATCATCCAGACAAAAACTAAACAGAAATAATGGAGCTAATAGATTTCATGACTCAAGTGGACCTAACAGATATCTACAGAACATTTCATCCAAACACAAAATAATGTATCTTCTTCTCAGCAACTCACAGAACCTTCACCAGAATTGACCATATACTTGATCACAAAGCAAGTCTCACCCCTGTACCTTATCATACCACCATGGATTAAAGCTGCATTTCAACAACAGAAACAACAGAAAGCCTACAAACTCATGGAAACTAAACAACTTTATACTGAATTACCACTGGGTCAAGGAAGAAACAAAGAAAGAAATTAAAGACTTACTAAAATTCAATGAAAATGAATGCACAACATATCCAAACTTATGAGACAAAAATGAAAGCTGTGCTAAGAGGAAAGTTCATAGTGCTAAGTGCCCACATAAAGAATTTGGAGAAATCTCATACTAGCAACTTAACAGCACACCCGAAAGCTCTAGAACAAAAAGAAGCAAATACACCTGTAGTGGGTAGCTGTTCCAGCTTTGACCTCAAAACACTGCCTCTAGTATGGCAGTCTGGAACCTATTACACACACTCAAGGGGAGTAGACAACAGGAAATAAACTGAGGGCTGAAGTCAATAAAATAGAAACAAAGAGAACAATACAAAGAACCAATGAAACAAAGAGTTGGTTCTTTGAGAAAATCAACAAGATAGACAAACCCTTGTCCAAACTAACTAAAAGACAGAGAGATAATATCCAAATCAACAAAATTAGAAATGAAAAAGGGGATATAACAAGAGACACCAAGGAAATCCAAAGAATTGTTAGGTCGTACTTCAAAAACATGTACTCCACATAATTGGAAAATTTAAAAGAAATGGACAATTTTCTTGATAGATACCACTTACCAAGGTTAAATCAAGACCAGCTGAAGAATTTAAATAGACTTATAACTCTGAAGGAAATAGAAGCAGTCATTAAAAGTCTCCCAACCAAAAACAGCTGAGGGCCAGTCAGTGTTAGTGCAGAATTCTGCCACACTTTCAAAGAAGAGCTAATATTAACACTCCTCAAATTATTCCACAAAACAGAAACAGAAGGAACACTCCCAAATTCATTTTATGAGGCCACAGTTACCCTGATACTCAATCCACATGAAGATAGAAAAGAAAATTACAGACCAATCTCCCTCATGAACACTGATGCAAAAATATTCAATAAAATACTCAAACTGAATCAAAGAACATATCAACAAGATCATCCACCATGATCAAGTAGGTTTCATCCCAAACATGAAGAGATGTTTCAACATATGAAAAACTATCAATGTAATCCACCATATAAACAAAATGAAAGGAAAAAAAAACACATGATCATCTCATTAGATGCTGAAAAAGCCTTTGACAAAATCCAACACCCCTTCATGATAAAAGTCTTGGAGAGATCAGGGATGCCAGGGACATACCTAAACATAATAAAGGCAATTTACAGCAAGCCAACAGACAACATCAAATTAAGTGAAGAGAAACTTAAAGCAATTCCACTAAAATCAGGAACATGACAAAGCTGTCCACTCTCTCCCTATCTATTCAATATAGCACTCTAAGTTCTAGCTAGAGCAATAAGACAACTAAAGGTGATCAAGGGGATACAAATTGGAAAGGAAGAAGTCAAAGTATCACTATTTGAAAATGATATGATAGTATACATAAGTGACCCCAAAAATTCTACCCGGTAACTCCTACAGCTGATAAACACCTTCAGCGAAGTGGCTGGATACAAAATAAACTTTAAAAGAAAAGTCAGTAGCCCTTCTATATACAAACGACAAGTGGGCTGAGAAGGAAATCAGAGAAACAACACCCTTTACAATAGCCACAAATAATATATCTTAGTGTAACTCTAACCAAACAAG